TAAGTATATATATATATATATATATATACTAACAGACCTACATTCACATACACACAACCATACCAATGACACCAATAATGTATGGAATACTACACAACTCAAAAGGAACGAAAAAAAAAGTCAAGAAAAACGTTATCAGTTGAATATGTATGGGTATAGTGTGGTAGAGAGTGTTATTATTGCTTTTTTTTTGTATTTCTCAGTTTTTTTTTTTCTGCTTTTGTCTGCGTGACAGTCTGTGTGCGTGATTGGTATTCCAGAGTGTTTGCTTGATTCCTGTTCATTATTTCACGTTCGTAACTTTCTTTCTCTCTCTATAGACTCTTATGAATATATATATATATATATATATATATATTATTTCTTGCCTTTGCCGATGCTTTTTTATTTTTCTTCTTATTATTTTGTTTCTTTTCTTTTTTTTTTATTATTTTTCTTTATTTATACGAAAGCTGCAGTAATAGTGGCTATAGTAAGTAAGCCCACTTAAATACACAAGTACAGAGGTATATATATATATATATATATATATATATATATATACTCTCTGGATAGATTTGGGGGTGTTAACATCTAAACATTTAACCAGCAGCATTACACACGAAGAAGAAAAAGAAAAAGAATTAACAAGAGCCTATAAGAACACAAATAACTGAAAGTATGCCTCCAAAAACAAAACGACGGGTTATTGAAGACCCCAACAATACATGGAATCATCAGTTAATGGAGGCTTGTTTACATTACAACATCACAGATGCAGAAGCTGTGTATGAGAATGGTGCGGATCCAATAGGTGCACGTGAGAAAGTGCCTTTCTATCCAGATCCACTTCCACCTCTCATCGCCCTTCTTCTTCTTAATGGTCGATCTACCACAGAAGCTACAAATACGATGAATTGGCTTATTGCTCGTGGTGCTAAAGTCTCACAGTTTATTCCTCTTCAAGGAAAAAATTTCTTTACGGATCCAGATGAAACCGGTACCATTCTGCACCTTCTCGTACAATTAGGTCAACCATCATTATTAGTGGAAGTCCTCGCCCTGATTGGAGAACCCCGTCCAACACCCATGTCTCTATTAAGACGTCTACCACGTACAGATCCAAGTGTGCTATCTATGTTTTCATTAAATCCTGTATCTACTCCACCAACACAAACATCTACAGCAGGTGCTGCTCCTACTGTAGCTGCACGGCGACTGGGAAGTGCATCTGGGAATACAGTTGCAGGGGCTGCTGCGACTACAAGACGATCTGCACGACACTCACATGTCTCACCCGAATCCTCTCCAGTCTCATCACCAAAATTTCATATGGATGCTAATATGCATTTAAAAGGAGATATTATTGATTTCTCTGCACGTACATCTGTTCATAGTTGGACCGCATTAGATTTAGCTCTTCGCCGCTCAGATGCCCTAATGGTACAATTACTACTTTACTACGGAGCTCCTGGTGTGTTTCACTCTCTTGTTAATGGTATGCAAACAGCTCTAGCACGGGCTTGTGCTGCAGGTGATAAAGAACTTGTAGAAACTCTTTTAGATGCTGGAGACTCTATTGGACAAATATCATTGGATGGTCGGTATACATTAATACACTATGCTGCCGCCCAACCAGCCGTGTTGGATCTCTTGTTGGCTCGTGGTTTATCTATTGATGCACCTAATGCCTTTGGTGAATCCGCGCTTGTTTCTCTTATCTGTTATGGACAAGGTGTAAATGCGGATTACTCTATACGTGAAACCCCACGACCTGCAGATGCCGCACGACTGGCCGCTCTTCCTCCACCCGCATTGCGAAATTACATCTTAACTCCATTACCACCTCTCATGGCTCCCTCCTCCTCCACTGCAGGAGCCGCAGCGAGAGCTTCAAAAGTGATGGTTAATACCGCCGGTAGTGTTGTAGGCGATACGGAATATCCAAATACGGTACGAGATGCCGATACTTGGTGGTATTTTACATCTGGTAGTAATACATGGGCGATGATACAAAACTTGTATGAACGGGGTGCGGATGTGAATGGGAATTTACCACGTGGAGAATCTTCTAAAATGACCCGACGTACTAATGAAAACAAACAAACATTATTATTAAAGGTTTCACCACAATATCAACAGCAATTTCGTCATACCCCTTCAAGTTCCCCTTCCGCTTCTCTACTGAGCGATAGTTATGGTCTTCCTATGAGTGGTCCTACTGGTGCCTCTACGGAGGAAGATAACTTGGAAGATAGTGATAACCGTCCTAATATGCAATGTACTATACAATTAACACCACTCATGCATGCTATTATTGCCTACCACCCGGAGTTAATTCGTCGTCTTGCGGTAGAATATCGTGCAGATCCAATGGTAAAAAATGTATATGGAGCATGTGCATTACACTACGCTGCTATGGCTCGTCATCCAAGTGTAATGGAGTTAATGCTTTCTCAACTTGTTATCCCTTTACATCCTCATTTTGATATCAATACACAAGATTGTTGTGGACGAACACCATTACATTATGCTGCTATGTACGGTAATGTACCAGTTGTGCGTGTACTCCTTACATTAGGTCAAACATTACATGCTGGTAAACCAGACTTTGCAGGTCGTACACCCCTTCATCTCGCCGTATTAGCCGGTGATACTTCTGTGGTAGGATTACTTCTACACTATGCGGAAGCTTCTGTGGCCATGGAGTCTGTGAGTGTCAGTTCTTTACCACCATCTAAGAAACGTCCTCTTTCGATGCGTCGTAAACCGCGGCATTCCTCTGTGACGATTGATGGTATGCCGTTAGACCCCACCACCGCCTCTGCAACGGGTATTGATGTAGAAACAGAAGATCTTATCTCTGGACAATCAGCACTGGAGATGGCAGTATGCACTACACATGATGTTGCGATTGTACGATTATTACTTACCATTGGTTGTGCGTGTGTACGGCATGGAAGTGGTTTACCAACAGGTGGAACACTTTTACATCGTACGGTAACAGATGGACAAACAGAGATTATGATATTATTATTAGAAAACTATGCGGATCCAAATGAAATGGATGATCGTGAACAAACCCCATTACACCTTGCCGCACAGTCTTCACTTCCACAAAGATGTGAAATGGTGCGAGAACTTATGCGTTTTGGGGCTGCCGCGGAATCACAGAGTGGATGTACATTAGAAACCCCAATTATTATTGCCGCCCGTCGTGGGGATGCGGAGATGTTAGATCTCATGCTTCATCAACAGGAAGAGTTCACAGGCACAAGTATGATGGGATCACTCTCATCTAGAACAGCAGAGCGAGCACGTAATCGCAGTACCGCACGTCATCAGTCCACTTTATCACCATCAAGCCGACGTGCTGCTCGACAACAAGAACAATCACAAGAACAATCACAATCACAATCACAACAACAACAGGAGCAACAACAAGAACAACAATCACAATCACAGCAGAAACAAACAAAACAATCCAAACAAAAACAACAAAAACAATCACAACAAAAACAAGGTTCACGTGGACGAACTCTACATCGTCGTGCAAGTAATGTTTCCGTGGTCTCTGAAGCCAATGGGAATTCACTTTTTGATAACACCTGCAGTCTAGATTCACGGACCTTGTTATCATCGCCTGCTATTACACCAACAACCTCAGCAGGAGGAGGAGGAGCAGCAGCAGCAGCAGGAGTAGTAGCGTCTATACGTGGAAGTAATGAAAACTCTGTGGATCGAGCTTTATTGACTCCAAATCATTTACTGATTGCCGATGGAAAAGTACGTACGGCACTTCATTACCTCTGTGATCAAAGTGATGCACAAAAACAAAAGGAACTACTCCCACTCTTACGCGAAATTCTTCGTTGTCCACTAGCCTCAACATTAGTAATGCAGTTAGATATAAATGGTCGACTCCCTCTACACGATGCCTGTGCTGCTGGATACACCGCAGCTGTACAAGAGTTACTTCGTCATGATGATGGGAATACCACTGTTTTCATGGATGCCAGTGGTTTCACACCACTCCATTGTGCTGTGATTGCAGATGATCCTGAGAGTATTGCTGCACTTGTGCAAAGTGTTGAATTTTGGATTCCATGCACTTTGAAAGGCGTTTCAGCCGCAGTCGATGCGCCTAATTTAGTGCCCATCACAAGTCGTATGTTGCAACAGCGAAAATATGGATTGAGTTCACACCACGGTGAAGGATGTCGAGAGACGTGGATAAATAATATGTGGGCATACTTAAATGTATATGATAATATGGGACGCACACCATTATTACTCGCAGCAGAGTTGGGCCGAAGAAAAGCTAGTGCCTTTTTAATGTCACTTCTACAGGAATGCTCAAGGAAGTCTATGAAGGTACCAGCTGATATCGCTCGTACGCTCTTTGTAAATGGTGATGTGTATAACCCTGTTAGTCCATTGTAATGGTGTGATGCTTTGCTATTTTAACTATTACTATATATATATATATATATATATAGTAAATGTTGTTCTATTTTTTTTTTTTCCTTTACGGGCTTCTTTTTTTTTTTTTTTATTGTGTGTATGTGAAGGTTCTACGCGAGTGAAGAGGTGGGACTTGAGATGATTACAAGAAAGAAGGAACGAAGAAAAATAGAGGCTAAAAAGATGAGAATGGAGAATAGTACAAATGTAGCTACTGCATCTCTAGATGCAGAGTGTTATTTATGTATATTAAAAAAAAAAAAAAAGATCTATGAGAAAGACCTTTTTGACAGATGAAGGTGTGCGTAAACAAAAAAATAGAGAAACCTTCAAAGAAACAAAGGATACGCATTGTGTGGAGCATTCTGTTTTTATCATTACATTTCTATATATGTATGATCTTTTTCTTATTGTTGTTTATTTCTTCCATTCCTCATATTTATTTCTGTATGGATCTGTGTACCCTTAAAATTCTCTTATTCTCTTCTTTCTCTTTTTTTTATTATTATTATTAATCAATTAATTAATAATAATTATTCTTTTTTTTTTTTTTTACGAAGAGGCAGTATCGGCAATACCAAGTGTTTGTTACTCTTCTGAGTATAGAATATATATATATATACATTATACACTCTGATAATTTCATACACTACCACTAGCATTTAAAAGGAAGAAGAAGAAGAAAAAAGAAATAAAAAAAAAAATGGGTGTCGGTCAAAGCCGTGAACTACTGGGAAAAGTCAGTGATGACCGTGTCTTTGTCTGTACTAATCGTGAAGAGTTGCTGGACTTATTAACAGAGATGCAAAGTGTCCTTATGCCAGAGAATGATGATATAGATAATATGGAGGAAGAGAATGAGGCGCAAGGAGTGGATGAGGCCAATGATAGTGGTAAGGATGATAACATCAACAACACAGGTGCTGATGATGAGGATGATGATGATGATGATGATGATGATAACGAGAAGAAAGAAGATAATCAAAAGGATGAGCAACAACAACAAGAACAAATTGAAGATAAAGAGGAGAATGTTGAAAAGGAGGAAGACGCAGAAAATATAGAAATTGTGGATGTTACTCCTATAGAAGTCATTCATATTCCAAATCACTACTTGGGAGATGAAGGTCTTATCTTTGGTCATCCTGCTGTATTACAAGTCCTTGCTGCAAGTACTTCACTACGTTCACTAAACATTGGATTTAATTCTCTCACCGCACGCTCTGTTGCTGCTCTTCTTGGTAAAGAGATTGAGAATCTCAACAACAAGGATAATGATGATGATAATGATGATAATGATGATGATGATGGAAACAGGGCTGTAGATGATGTCCATCTTAACAATGGTGGTTTACCTCCCAATCTGTTATCCTTAAATCTTGCTGGTAATACTATTGGACGTGAGGGATGTGAACTTCTTGCAGGGTTTCTCGCTCGTGATCCTCCACTGCGGGAACTCTCACTTTTTCATAATGGCCTTTACGACAGTGATGTGGAACCTCTTCTACATGCATTGAAGACAAACACACACCTTCGTCTCCTTAATCTTGACTACAACTTCCTTACAGGAGGTTTTCTCCGTCAGTTATTGGAGTTATTGAAAGAACATAATAGTACACTCGCTGTCGTTTTGTTTGATGGTCCATATGATATGGAAACATTTGAACGTAAACGTGAGATTGTACAGCCAGAGAAAATACCAGATGCAAGTCAAGTTGGTGCTAATGCACGAGCGTTACTACGGCAAAAATTACTACGCGCTGATCTCTCTGGTCGTATTCCATTTCCAGCAGATCTTGTGCAGGAGGTGGAAACTATTCTCGCCCCACGACGAGCCGAATATATAGCAGAACTAGAAGCAGAAAAAGAAGCCAAAGCGGAAAAGGAAGCAGAAAAAGAAGCAGAAAAAGTGTTAGCTCTCTGGGGACAAAATGAGGGATGCTCCCCGATTAGCTCTTCTCAAGGATCTTCCAATGATGAAGAGGGAGGTGCATTAGAAAAACAACAAAGCACAATGGAAGAAGGTGAAGAAGAGGAAGAAAAGAAAAAAAAGAATGGAAACAATAATGAAAATGTTGTAGATAAGATGGGTAATGGTACTGTGGGTGGTACAGAAGGATTAAATAATGATAGTACGAATATTACAGATGTAACCCCTACAGGTAGTGCTGGATGGACAACATATAGTAGTAAAACCAAAAATGCCTCTGCTCACACCGCATTACCAGAAGCCCAAAGTACAGAACGATTAAACAGTCGAGCAGATGATTCTATTACAATCCCACCTGTTAAATCTACTCGAGGACGTTCTATTACAAGTGTGGCTGGTGCGAAGGCGGCAACGGCGGCGGCGGCAACAGAGGCAGCACAGGCATGGCGATCTAAACGTAATGTTGATACTGGTAAAGAATTATCAAACGGCTTTGATCGATTGGTGTTAGCACCACCAATTCTCGCTCCAGGTGCGAAAACAGTTTGGCATCGCGTGGAGGGTCCACCGTGTCGTTTACGGGCGTGTTGGTGTGATCCCCGCGATGCCCCAGTTCCCTATGGTGGACAATTACACTATCATTGTAAACATGAACCCACCGGTGGGGAATTGGGGGATATGGGTGCGGATGGAGTTCCCCTCGCCGCTAAGCGAACTCGTGTGAAACACGATCACAGCTCCGTGGTTCGACAAATCACATTAACAAAAGCAGGAGCCGCCAATGGAAAGAGGAAAAAGACTATTTATGAAGGTTGTAAAGAGACAAGTCATCGTTGTGAGTCGCTTGGATTCTATGGACGTCCAAAACCAGATATGAGTTCGGTATATTTCTTTGCATCTCGTCACCCAATGCAAGCACGTGCCCTAGTAATGGATAATGATGTTGAGTGAGAGAAGGAAAAAATAAAGAAAGGGATGGGAGAAGTCTTTTGCTCTTTATAAGACTTGTAGAGGAAAGAAAGAGAGCGAGAAAAAAAATAGTATATAGATTTATGTTTCTATCACTCTCTCTATATATATATATCTTTATATATATACCTGTTTCTCTTGTTTTCTTTCTCTATGAAGTTTTTATCCCTTTGGATAGATGAATGAAAATATGTACATTTTAATATATTTTATGAGAATGTGTCCTTTACATGCTTATATATAAATTTAAAGCATGTTTTGTCCACTATTCCTTTTTACGCTGGACACATTTTTTAAATCAATTTTTCATTTGTTTTTTTTTTCCTTGAAGTTTGTTGATTGTGGTGAATGTATATAGTTGAGACTAAACCTCTTGAGTGTTTATTAATTGCTCTTTGTGTGTATGTTTCTATGTGGTTGGTTTCATTACTGTTTCTCCTCATCTTTTTTTTTTCTTGTTGCTGCTGTTTTTTGTAATGTGTATTGGATTGCTGTTCCCTTCTGTTCTTTTTTTCTTTTTTTTGTTGTTATTTTTCTAGTTGCCCTCTTAGCCTTTTTTTTTTTTTTTGAATCATAACTGTGTTTCTCCTTTTTTTTTTTTGAAGGAGTTTTACAAAAGGAAAAAAAAAAGGAATTAAAAATAAAAAAAAAGGGTCTGTTTCTGTGTATCTGCACTTTCACTTTGGGACTGTGTGTGTAGTTTGCACGGAATAAATACAAACTAAGGGGTAAAGGTGTATTTGGACACCTTCATATACATATACATACATACATAAATATCTAAAACACATTAAGTAAGCATATATATATTTAATAATTGCCTTTTTATTTCCTGTTATTAACGGCCTTCAAAGTTCCAAGAAGAAGAAGAAGAAAATAACGTAACGAAGAAACTGAGAGTCAACGTGTGTCTCTCTCTTTCTCTTTTTTTTCTATATTTACTTCTTTCTTTCTCTTTCTCTATTGGTGATTCATGCGAGCAAGTGGTACCCAACGTCGTTTGTTGGACTCTATTCTCTCCTACTGGAGCTGGAAGAAATCCAACGTGGCGGGTACTACTCCCACTTCTCAAAACCCCCATACTCACACGGATACGCATAAAGAAGAAAACCCAAAGAAGGAGGGATTAGGATTCAATTTCAAATGGGGATCTAAATCTTCTTCTTCTTCTCTTTCTTCTGTTTCTTCTTCTTCTTCATCTTCTTCTTCTCTTGCGGCTGTGCGGGAGGTGGTGGAGCGCCGTCGCTCATGCCGCCGCTTTGATCCCGCCGCCCCGATCGATCCCGCACTTCTCGCCGATCTTCTCACCGCCACCACCCGCGCCCCCACCGCCTTTAATTTACAGCCGTGGGTCGCCGTTGTTGTGCAGGAGGCGGCACAGCGTGAGGCCCTCGCAAAGGCCACACTCGATCAAATACAACCACGAGAGGCTCCGGTTACGATTATATTCGCAGGCGATACACAACCGGTGAGAAATGCCGCTGCGGCGCTTGAAATGGGACTTGAAAGTGGACATCTCGCACCTACATATGGGGCCGTCTTCTTACGACATGTATATTATCAGATGCATGCGGGTCCATTAGATGCCTTTGCACACATTAAGGGAGCGGTGGCTTCAAATTACAGCGCGTGGACAGGAACACCCATGTTATCCGTACCAACTAATATGCAAGCATATGCCTGGAAGCAAACGATGATTCCAGCCACAACGTTTGTTTATCTAGCAACCGCCGCTGGTCTGGATACCTCCATTATAGAAGGATTTGATGAAGCTCAAGTACGAAATGTAGTGCAACTTCCATCACATTATACTATTCCGGTGATTGTTAGTGTTGGGTATGGCACCCGCGAGGGTTTTCGCTCCGTAAAAAGCCCGCGTTTCCCACCATCACATTTGATTCGATGGGGTAAGTATTGAACTAATGCAATGATGATGATGATGATGATGATGATAATGATAATGATGAGCAGTAATGAACACTGGGGAGGGGTAATAGCAGCCCAAAAAAAGAAAAAAAAAGGAAAAAAAAACCAGGTTCAATGGCAAAAGGGGGTGTCACTAGTTAATAGTAAATGTACTTGTGTTAAGTGCATTTTGCTGATGTTGATACCATTGCTATCAGATGATGGTTATATGAAGAGAGAAGGAAATAAACATAATATGTGGTCTGCATCAAAAAAAAAAAGGCGAAATAAGGTGGAATTATTTCTCTGCAAATGATGTGTGTATAGATTGCCTATTTATCCCTATGTAGAGACTGTATGTGTGTTTCTGTCTCACCACACATTGCATGGTTGAGGCGTTGTACTCTAGTTTTAACTAAATGTCGATTCGTTGATTTTTATTGTTGTTCTTGTATAGGTGTATTGTGAATTATACGTAAAGAGAAACAAAAGGTGTTACAGAAGGTCTTTCTCTGCAATGTACTTCTTGGTATGATGACTGTTTAGGAGAAGAAAAAAAAAAATCAAGAGAATGGACTACACGTAGTTGCCCTTTTTAGTAGGTATAACTTCACTTGCTTGGTTTTTTTTTTTTTTTTTTTTTTGTTGTTTGTTCCCGCTGTGTCTGCGTGCTGTCAGCCGTATCATCATACCACAGTACGGTATTTTTTTTTTTTTTTTTTTTATTGTTGTTGTTGCTATTAATGATATTTCACTCCTTCTCTTTTTTTTTTTTCTGTTTCTGGTCGTCCCCCTCTTTATATATAAAAACAAACAAACAAAAGGGAACACAATATCAGGGAGGCAGCATTACTTTTACGCAAGTCCTCGCAGCACAAGAGCTGCAACAACAGAAAACTGTACTTGATACCTATAGAGTGTCTGGGTAGCTGTTGTTTGAATCCTTTTATTTATTTTTTTTTAGTAATCCTTATTACTACTGCTGCACTTCATCTCTTTTTTCCTATTCGTGAGTTTTGGTGTATTTCACCATGAATGAGATGGAACGTATTTCACCTGTGCTTAACGTAAATGACGCCTATTCTCCTATTGAGATTTCCACCTCACCGCATGTACCATCTCGTTTGCGTCGGGCTTCTGAAGGGGTACATGATGAAGAGAAGGAAGAAAAGAAGGAAATGGACCGCCAGCATTTGGAATTAGAAGAGATAAAAGAGGAAAAGAATACAAATAGCACTCATGAGGGTCAAGATAATCAAAACCAAGAGAATAGAGATACGAATACTCCTCCTCCTCCTCCTCAAATGGCTGGAGGGAATATGCGTGTACGAACTCTTAGTAGTACTAGTATTAGTGGTGGTATTCCAGATGAGACGATTTCAGCATTAACAATGACTGGTTGTAAACACACACAGCAGCAAAGTACAATATTACATTTAGGCACCTCATCTGAAGTGATATCCCCTACTTTACAGTATGATAAAAATAACATGAGATATCAAGTACCATCATCTCAGAATGTTGATAATAATGATAATGATAATAATGTTAGTAGTAGTCATAATGTCACGAACAATAAAAAACAATTAGAAAAGAATATTATGGATACGAGTAGTGGTGGAAGAAAAAATAATCCTCAAAATGTTTCTGGGAGACGTGCTCAAGAAACTGATTCCACAGATATTCCACCTAAAATTTCAACTCCAAGCAGACGTCTTGTTGATGAAAAGTCCGGTGGTTGTTCAGGTTTCTGTGGGCCTAGGTTAAATGTATCGTTTTTACATGGATTTCGTGATCTCTTTGGAGGGAAGAAAAAGAAAAAGAAAAATGCTCATGAGGTATCAAATAGAGCTGCACAGAGTACTCGTGAGGCGAAAGTAGAAGAAGAAGAAGAAGGAGCAGCAGCAACAACAACAACAGGAAAAACAACAAAAGCAAGAGAAACAGCAGCAGCAGCAGCAGCAGCAGCAGCAGCAGATGCAAATGCAGAAGGAAAACCTTTGGATCTTTCACGAGCTTTGCCTGGTACTACTAACGCTATTCTTTCTTCTACTACTAGTTCTACAAATGTGGAGAATGCGGATTTTCCTCAGGTTGTCTCTGACAGAGAATCCCTGCGACAAGAGCAGAAGGAGAAACAACATCGTTATCACGATATAAGTCTACCACCTGATTCTACAATAGATCATTGGTCAGAAGATGAACAGTTTGTTGAGGAATTGGAGAATGGGTATGGAATGCATATAAATAGTGAGAATGGAGGATATGAGGATGATGATGATGATAATGATGATTTAGCAATAGAAGCTATGGCACGAGAAGCAGGAATGATGGAACCAGAAGAAAAAGAAGAAAAGGGGGAAAAAGAAGAAAAAGGAGAAATGATTCCAACTCTTTATTCTTTGCCACCCTCTCCGCATCATCCTGCAGGATTAGTAGACAGTGAAGAAGATAAGTTAACTCCAAAACCACGTAGAAAACGCATATCACCTGGACGACTCTCTGAATTGAAATATAAGAATGTTATTAATGCTAGCATCCATAGTAGCTCTTCATTATGTTTTCTCGTCGAAGAAGAAGAAGAAGAAGAAGAAGAGGAAAACAGTGACGTTGTTAATAATAATAATAATAACGATAATAATAATAATGAATGTGATAGCGAAGGGGAAGTAAAAACGTCGGATAATATAAAACAAACAGAAACAGCAACTGGCACTCTTGTACATAATGCCAACAATGAAGTTGTTCCTAAAGCGAGTAAGCGATCCACTCCATCTGTATCCATCACAACATCTTCAGCTCTCTTACCATCCTCACCATCACTACAACAGAGACGTAGTCATAGTGCAACGCTTCCACGGAAAGAAACAAAAAGAACGAACTCAACACCTCATTTTGTACGTGAGAACTACACAGGTGATGTACAAGGAAGATATTATGATCATAACGGTAATAACAACAATTACAGTAATCATAATAATAATAATAATAATAATAATAATAATAATAATCATAATCATAATAATAATAATAATGGGAGTAGAAGTAAAAGCAGAAGCGTTAGGTCTTCACGTACGGCATCCGTTACAGCTCTCTCATCACCTCAACGAAATACACTGATGAAGAATAGAAAGGCAACGCCAGAGGATAAGAAAAAGAGTAATAATAGTAATTATAATTATAATAATAATAAGAGAGAGCAGAGATCGAACTCGTCAGGTGTACTCATCACTGCATCGGCAAGATCATCATCCGTGTCTGCAAAAGGAAGGACAACCACATCATCACATGTAGGCTCTACTTTTTTTCGTCCATCTTCTTCATCGGAGCTAAGAGCAAAACAGAAACAACGACAACAGCAGCAACAAAAAGAGGAAGAGAAGAAGAAAGGGAATATAAAGGAAGAGAATGAAGGACATAAGAAGGAATCAAAATTTACTCGTTTGGTGCGAAGAGGAACAAGTAACAAGAAAACTGGAGTTTCCATAACACGGTCATTCCATCAGGATGGAAATCATTATCCAAAACATCATTCCCACTCTGTGAATAGTACTTGCAATAGTAATGGTAATGGTAGTAATAGTAATAATAACGGAGGCGGAGGTGGAGGTTCGTATGTGCAATTAGCAGCGAAAAGACGTGAATACTTGAATGCCGCAATGGATCTTACCAACAGTTATACCGGTTCACATGATGGTAGTGCTCCAACTTTCTCTAACTATCCATTTAGTAGTAGTACTACTAGTCGTAAGATCTCACGACGACGACAACAACAACAACAACATGTAGGAGATGATATAATGGAAATATTTACATCTGCACAGAGACATCATAGTCCTAGTAAACATCGCGGGTACGTTGAGTCCCTGATATCATCAAAGGGCAACAATAATAATAATAATAATAGTAATAGTAGTAGTAATAACTTCTATTCACGTTGTATTTCCCGTGCTGGTCTCACATGGCGTGAGTTTAAAGCACGTTTTTATGATAATGAGGGAAATGCGAATTCTATAAACACAACCACAGCGACAGCAGGTTCTACAATTGGTATTAGAGAACCAACATCCGAAACACAAGAGCAATATTTGCGTAGAGAAGAAAAAGAACTCTCTACACTTGCGGCATGTGTACGTCCCTCATGTGCTGCCTGTGGTCCAGATGCTCATGAGTTATTTCTATTAGGACTATTAGCCGGTGATAAAAAGGGAACTGTACTTGTTAACCCTATACGTGAGGAATTATACGAACCTCCACCTCCACCTCCACCACCATTACCAACACTTCCACCTGTAGCCACTGTTGTTGTTTCTCCATCATGTGGACAACGAGAAACTATTACTGTGAGTACTCCACCGTGTGGATCAGTTCCCTCCTTATCTTTACACTCACAGGAAGTGGATTGCGGCAGTCCAGTAGAAACTCACGTGGTGGAATCTTTGGATCATACTGCCACTCCCAATGTGGAGGAGGTGAATACATTAGCGGTAGTGGGGGAAGATCCAAAAGAATCTGAAGAAAAAGAGGAAGAGGAAGAAGAAGAGGGAGATGAATATGTATTTGATGAGATTGAAAGTAATACCCACTTGGGTCTATACTCATCACATGTGAGTAAGGCTGCTTTAAATAATTCCCATGTTGCTACAGTTTCTACTCCTTTTAATATTCCAGTTTCTGCAGCTGATGTTCCAAGATCTTCTTCCTCTAATTATCGTACGAATTCCAATGATAATTGTAAAGAACATGATGTTCACAATGATGAAGATGATTCTTCTTATTATTATTATCATCATCATGATCAAGAAGAAAAAAACGAACGACAACAAAAAGATGAATATTCACAAACATGTAATGATGAAAAAGAAGAAACACCAGAGGTAAAATCTATGGGGGAAATCCCTGAAATGGAGAAATATATGGGAGTAGACCCTAAAGTGATTGCTGAGAAACTAGATGAGTTGGATGCGATGCTTGCCCATCGCTTTCCTTCTCTCTTCCAAACTCCATCGAATGATGAAAAGGGAAATCTCACTGAAAACTTTAAGAGTAGTGAAAAGAATACTAACAACCGCTATAATGGTGTTACTCGTCTAGGAGCAGCAGGTGTTGTAGGAGGTAGTAGTAATCGTATGAGTAGTGGTACTGGTGGTAATATTGGTAATAGTGTTAGCGGAAAGATAAAATCTACTGAAAATCACGTATTGCCATTATCATCTGTTGCTGTTATGGATGATGATAATGATGATGATGATATTCATAGTCATAGTACCAGAAGTACTCTCACTAGATTTAGAAATAGAAGTAACAGTAATAGTACTTGTGGAATAAGAGATACCACAAGTACTCGTCATCCTAGTATTAATGAATGTGATGGAGTTGAGACGACGACAATGATGATGACGACAACAGTAGCGGAGGCCTCACCAGCACTACCAGCAACGAGTGATAAAGATATGGATATACACAGAGATGAAAAAGAAATAACGAAGAAAGAGAATTGTATGAAAAATGTGGATGGGACACTTGAAGCCTGGTTGGAAGAGCGGCGGCGATTGGAGGAGAAGTTAATAGCTGTTTCAGCAGAGCGGAATCTGTTGGCAGATCAACTTCGTATATGTAATTTATATGATACAGTGAAAAAAAGTAATTTAAATGATGGGAAGAAGACGATGGAAAAAGAGAGAAAAGTTTAGGAGATGATCGTTTAAAGCAAGACAATGGCAGCAAATTATATATATATATATATATATATATATATATATATATAAGAAATAATAATAAGAATAATAATGATAATAGACAGTAATGGGCGGGGGGGGGTGAGTGACTCCTTCTAACAATTTTTCTACACTCTGTGCTACTAGCATGACAACATGTGCTCCCCAATAACTAAGAAGAATAAACAAAAACGATTTCTGATGTTTTTACTTTTTTTTTTTTCGTCTGTACCACTTCTGCTGCTCATTTTTTTTATTTTTATTTTTATTTTTCTTGTTGTTGTTTTGTTTACATTTGTCTTGTATTTCGTTTTGTAAACGATTCTGTTGTTGATACTTTTAGTTATAAGGGTTGGGTGGGTGGGCATTACTTTCATTCAGTTCTATGACTGTTGTTTTTTTTTTCTTTTTTCTTTATTTATTGGTGTTTGTGCGCGTTTTGATTTTTTTTCTTCTTTGTTGTTGTTGGCTGTATATGTGCGTTTTTTTTTTTTTTTATCCCTGAAAGTTGTGGCGATAATGCTGCTGTTATTATTGTTATTGTTATTGTTGATGTGATGATGACGGTGGAGGTAGTGAGTGTGATGCTGTCACTAGACCTGCTGGTAAGAGTTATTCCTATTTTTCTCTATTTATTCATTTATTTTCCTTTTCTTTTCTTTTCCTTTTCTTGTATGTATTGCAATTCGTCTCTTCGTTAGTTCTTCTTCTTGTTGTTGTTGGGGTTGTGGTTGTTCCTCTTTTGATGATCATATACCTTCTATATATATATATATATATATTTACCATCTCTTTTCTACGGAATAGTGTGTGGGAGTATTTCGATGTGTATATATCCCCTTTCATGGTGTTTACCGTTTGCCTGATCTTTTTTTCTTTTTTCTTTATTACTGTATTCCTCTTTTCTTTTTTTTTTTTTCATTCTTTTTTTTTTTTCCTCGTTTAAGTCTCTCAGTTGAACGGAAGTGCGAATCACATAACTGTGGAGGGGAAGATGAGAGGGGAATCAAAAGGAAGAGGAATACAATAGAGAGATGAAAATAATAATTACACAACACACCCACTCAGACCATTCACTAGAAAAGAAAAAAGAAAAGAAAAATAATCAAAAGAATCAAAAGATGTATGCACTAAAAAAAAAGAAAAAAAAAAACACATTGATTGTAAAGTGGTGCTACAAGAAGAATGAAAATATTTTTTTTTTGGTTGTTGTTGTTGCTGTTTTGTTTAAAAGAAATGAAAAAAAAAAAATGAGAGACAAACATGTATAGATAAATACTGTTACCCTTATTATTTTTTCCCTTTTTTTCTCCCTTTTTTTTCTCTTGTTTTTTTTTTTCTTTTTTTTTGGCGGGGTTCACTGGTATTATAGTCACTAAAAGAGAAATATACAAAAACAAACAAACAAAGAGAAAAAGTGGTAATAACATCATCATCATTATCATCAATGGCGCAGACAGAGCGGAATAATGTTAATGAACCCATAACCATTCGAACAGAATCTAAAGCGGATGAAGTAACTGTATATCAACAGCGAGCCCAAGTTCGACGATATGCGAAGGTTGAATTACCTGCTACTATCAATAATGCTGGTGAAGAAGAGGAATTACTATTATACTTCGCAATGCCAGAGGAGTTTGATCGCGATTCTGTTCAGGTGTACTTTGATGAACACACCGCTGAGCATGTTGTCCTGCGTGCCACTCTTTTTGAAGAGAATGAGGATGAAGTGGAGGACGCTGAAGGGAAAGCAGCTGCAGCAGATTACGCAAGTCATCTACAAAATATTCGTAATGAACTAAGAGAAGTGGAAAAACAACTTGCCCTCAATCAATTGGATCTCACAGCTGTAAAAGAAGAGGCTACTCTTAACACAAATCTCTTCACTCGTCTCTGTGGACCTGTAACGGATGGTTTGCCAACATCGTTGGATGTAGAATATTGGGAATCACAACTAACAGGAGTGGAGAAACGTGTACGGGACAACTGTGCGGAACGTCGTCGTCTAGAAAAGAAGGATGCAGAGTTGAGGAAAACACAACAACACCTCCGTGAGAAACAACGTGAATTACAACAAGGCAATAATAATAATAATAACGACATCAAACCTCTAAATACTACTTCTACTAATTCATCATCATCACGATCTTTACATCAACGCCGACGACGAAATTGGGCGTGTCTTGTGTTACGTGTACGATCGGCATTATCGGCGGCGTCTGTCTTTGTCACTTACGCCACCACCAACACCACTGCTGCTGCCGCTGCTGCTGTTATTCAAAACTACTGTGGAGGTCCCCAGAAGACTAGTCCTCATAATAGTAATAATAATAATGTGGGTTGGCATGGAGAATACACCGCCTCTCTCGATCCCCGCCGCCGTCGAGTGACGCTTCGCTACACTGCTGTTGTGCGGGCTGCGGTGGAGCCTCTCGCCGATGTCGCCGTCACTCTCTCGTCCGCTTCTCATCGCGGTGGAAAAAATGGAGGCGGTCAACCCGGTGATGAGGACGAGGGTGTGCCGCCTTCTCTCAACAGTGCCTGGCGACTGGAGGCGGTGCGAAATCCAGAAGGAAGAGGAAGAGGAATAGAAGAAGAAGAAGAAGCATCAAGTGAAGATGAGGAAGATGTAAGGCGGCGGCACGTTATGTGGGGACAATCTCTCACAGGAGAAGGAGGCCGCAATGATGCCACGCTCACTGCTTCTGCAATTGTGAATGTTACTTTACCATCGCGATATACTTTTCCAACCGATGGGGCTCCACTGCGGGTTCCCCTCGCCGTTCTTGAGTGGGATGCAGATATTGCCTACTCTACAGTCCCTGATATGGTGGAGGCTGTCTTTGCTCACGCCACGTGTGTAAACAAGAGTAGTTATCTACTCATGCCTGGAAAGATGGCAGTCTTCATGGATGGTGATTTTGTCGCGAATGCCGAGATTGAGCGGACGGCGCCAGGTGAAGAATTGCATCTGGACTTTGGTGTTGATAACACCATTGAGGTGGAACGTAAACTACTACATCGACTCAAGACAGTGGATAAGGCATCCTTGTTTACACGTGAAAGGAAACAGCGGATCTTATACAGTTACTCCACCGTCCTCACTAACAAGAAACAAGATCAGGAAGGGTCTAGTGGAGCTGTTACAGTAACTCTCTCCGAGCGTATTCCAAAATCAAATGAGGAAAAACTTGTGGTACGACTCATTGAACCTAAAGATCACTTAACGGGAAAAGGACAAGAAAGCGAGAAACGTCAGCGAGAATTAGAGGTGGATGGAAAGGTTGAAATGAAAATTAATATATTGCCCGGTGAGACTGTTACAGTACCTTTTTCATTCGAAGTAGAAGCACCACATGACGCGACAATATTTGGACTATGAGTTATTATCACTTTTGACCTTATTTTTCTTTTTCTTTTTTTTCTTTTTCTTTTAAAATCCATTTTCATTACGGAAGTGCGTGATTGACTGTTAGATGCGTCCCTCTGTTGGGTTTCGTTTACACAAACCACGCAAAAAACAGCACACACTTGGAATTCTTTGATTATTGTTGTCATTCTTCGTTTGCTTCTTTGTTCGCAAAAAAAAAAAAAAAATTATACAACAAAGAGATCACAACAACAACAAAGTTTTTTTTTCTTTACCCCTTCAATCGTACAAAAAAAAAAAAAACTGCGTTTTTATTTCTTTACCAAAAGAAGAAACAAATCTTCCTCACTTTCAATACATATCTATGAATATATATAGATATGTATTTTCTTTTTCTTTTCCTTGGCGCACGATGATCAAAATGAATGCTTACACACTTCAACTACAACGAAACAAAAGGCATTATATGTCTACGATATGAAAGTGCAAAACTGCTACAAAAAGAAAAAAAATGGCGAAAAGCACAAAAAAATAATAACAGACTCATATCAACTGATCATATTGTATCACACTACCGTTCAGCGACACCTCTACCTTTTCTATACCAATTCCTATTTTATATTACACAAGCAACATTAGCTCCACAAAGGAGAAACGCGATAAAACAACACAACAACAACACACGAAAAAAATAATAATAACCAATTTGTGGCTACCTTTCATACAAGAGTCTCTATCAAAAGAACGAAAACAACAACAAAAATACACCAGTAGTAATAGCAATGAAGCAGTAATACAGCAACAGCAGTGTCGCTATGCGTCCCCGCAGTCTGTGCGGTGTGACGGTACGAAGCACGTGCGAGAGAACGTGACTTGACCCTGACTATATTCTACCATGCATGATATATGATGTACACAATTCAATACTCACTCCGAGCGCTTTAAATGACTGGAAATAAACGATAACATGCACTACCAGCTGACAACCCTACACCCCTCTCTCTCTTTCTCTCCCTCTCTTTTCTTCTTCAAATGCGGCATCTGATCCATATCGTGATGTGGCGCGTGTATGTATGTGTGTGTGTGTGTGTGTGGACGCAGGGAGCAGCGTGGGACGGGAAACGGCCGCAAATGATGTTTGAAAATGGAATTACCATCTGAACGCTGAAACACGCGAGTCGATGACACGATGCCATGTGCATTACCTCACTGTTACTCGTAAAGCTGACGCGACGTCCCCCCGCACCCCACTGCTGCTCTCCCCACATATATGTGTGTGTGCGGACCCGTGTTGTGTTGTGTTGCTCCTGATGACAAGTATATGTTTGCACATTTGCCGAAACTCCGTGAGTGACTTATCATAATCTAAGAACACCAGCTGACGAGCGGTACTCTTCCCTCCCTCATCTGTTTTCCTTTCCTTTTTTGCTGTGGTGTGAGCAGAGGAGACCTGTTGACTGTGCGGGACCGGTGATTATCTATGCGTCTTCCACCTAACGAAGCTGATGATTATAACTCGATGCATGCTACAGAACTATACTACACCAACGAATGTGAGATGAGGTCCGCGTGCAGTCCAGTGCTTTCTTTTTTTTTTTCTTTTCTTCCTCCCTCTCTGTTTCTCTTACTGTGTGTGGTGCAGCCTCCCCGGGCAGGATGACGCCAAATTGATTGTGATTTGTTTAATTGTTGTTCGTGCATGTGAAAATTTAAACTTTGAAATATTTTGCTATTAATTTTTTTTCTTTTCTGTTTTTTTTTTTTTAATTGCGTGTTTATAGGGGCGGGTTACAAGCAGTGAGCGTTTGAAGTATATAAGGGTTGCTTGTATACATTCTTTGTTTAGGCTTAAGTGAATCTTTTATTGTTTGTTACTTTGTTAGGTTTGCCCTATTTACTTTTAAAGTTCTTATGGATTTGTATCCCGAACGAGATGGTGTAGATCCAGAAGACCTGCAAGCTCAGGTTGATCAGCTGTATTCACATATTCTTGCAAGTGTGGATGTAAGTCTTGATGATGATGTCGACAACTCTCGCCGTAGTTTTAGTTCAAGGAGATCAATGACTGTTGGTGGTAGTATGGAAGTGAAGCAACGTTCACAGCAAACTGTTTCATTGGCTACAGAGCGTCGTAGCAAACTTCTTATGCGTGGTGTGAGTGAAGGAACGAAGTTTGTCTCCGTCCCTGATTGTTCTTGCGGTGAAGGTGGGGAGAAAATATCTTTCTCAGCTGACTTAACGACATCCACAAAAGCTGCCGCTGAGGTGAGGGATGAAGGTGAGGGTTGTTTGTGTAGTTGTCATCACTCACCATTGTGTTGTGCTGCTCACCACCCTTTACATGCGGTTAAAGAAAAAAATAGTTCTTCATCTTTTTCAAAGCATATGAGCAAAACTATTCTGCGGCCCGGTGCTGCTGGTGTATTACCACAGTCTCTACGACGTCAACCACCATCCACATTTGGTAGTGGCCGTAAAGGAATGTCAGAGCCAGTGAAGAAGAATAGCACACCTGGACCAGGGTCTTATTTCTGGAATGATGATCATGAACTTCATGTGAAGAGTTCTAGTAGTGTACATCGAACGTTAAGTGGTCGAGGTGATGGTAGTGGTGGTCGTCAAGAAACACAAAAAGTGTCTAGTATGAAAGAGGATTCATTGGAAGTGTTAAAGCGTCAGTTTTCATTAACGTGTCAATGTTATTGGAAGGAGTTTCCTGATATTGAGATACCGACAAATCCTTCAGCTCACGCTGTAAATTGTCCTTATCAACATATTCGTACAACTTCAATAAAGAGTAGTGATAGTAGTCGCAGTTCACAAAGTAGTTATAGCGAGAACTCTTTCCCTGAAGTTAATAATAATAATAATAATAATAATAATAATAATAGAAAGCATCGTTCAAATGCAGCTCCAGTTGTGGTCTCTCCACGTCGTGGAGTTTGCAATAGTACTAAAAAAGTGCGAGGAGCCGTCTTTGGAACTTCACCTCGTCGAACGATCTTTGCAGAGCAGCATTTGTTACAGCAAAGTGAAAATACACTGAATGAAAGTGGTAAACCAACATCTCGAGAAGGTGCAAAAAGTATGGAAAAGAATGAGAATATCCCCAAAAATAGAAAAAACTCTTCTTTGCGGAATTTAACACCTTCTCGTCAACTACAGTTAGGAGAAGTAGATACCGTACCTGGTCCTGGAGCTTATAATGTTTCCAGTGCTTTTGATGTGGTTGCAAAGAAAGATAAAACAAGGGGAGTATCTATTGGCCGTGCAGCACGAAAATTACACACCATGACAGAATCTCCTGGTCCAGGTGCATATTATACAGATACGACAGGAGGAAAAGATGATCAATCTAAAAAGAAGAATTATTTTCTCACATCAAGTCCTCGTCGATTGCAACTATCAGCTACAACAAAAGAAGAAACTGGTCCTGGTCCATGTGAATACAGTACAGAAAAAACAATATTAACAGATGCACGACACAAAAATGCTCCTGCTTTTTCTTTTGGTCGAGCGAAATTACCGGAATGTGCGAAAACGCTTTTTCGTGCCTCACCTGCTGAAAAAGTAGATGATATCCCAGGTCCAGGAACATATGATATCTCTACGGTATCACATGAAACAGGTGGAGCTCCTGTATCAGGACGAACTGCCATTATAACAACTGCGAGACGTAATGATGATATGTGGCGTGGGGTGTATTATAAACCTGATGATATCCCAGGTCCAGGAACGTACACAGTGGCCAAAGAAGAAAGAGGACCTGCTTATTCTTTGGGAACTCGACCAACTGAATATACAGAACCAACTCCAGGACCTGGACAGTATATGATTCCTGATGAATCTTCAGGTCCTCAATGGACTATGTCCGCACGGCGATCATCGCCAAATATTAAGGAACCTTCTCCTGGACCAGGTGAATATTTTGTTCCTATTTACGATTTACGACGAGAACATTCAAAGGCACCTCTATTTACTACTGCTCCACGTTTGTTACATGATGATACTAATGAAGCTGCTAAAAATCCAGGTCCAGGTAATTATGATATCACTTCTACCATGGATGCAGCACGTACAGTTGTTATGGGAACAGCTGAACGTACAACTAATCTGGAAGGTGAAAGTAGTGAAATACCAGGACCTGGATCATATATGGTACAACATTCTACACAAGAACGACGTATTGCAGTGCCTATTCTTGGAACTTCTTCACCGCGTTTCGAAAGTGAAACAGTTAGTGGTTCTGTTAACCCTAATTTAGGACCTGGATATTATGATTTAGATGCTCAGAGTAAATTAATGAATCAACGTAGTGCTGTTCTTGGGAGTGCACCACGTACGTCAAGTTTTATTCCACAAGATATGACGACAGATGCCGGTCCAGGATCTTATGAAATAGTTGTACCAAAGGATGGTCCATTTTTTTCAATTGGGCAACGATTACCAGATAACACTGCAGAGAAAGAAATAACACCTGGACCTGGAGTATATGATGTACAAGAATTAACTACAGGAAGAAGTGCTGTGGTAGGATCTGCGGCACGTTTTCAACCTAGCGAAGAAGAAAAAGCGAGTAATGAAGTACCTGGACCTGGAGCTTATACAACTGTAGTTCCTCCTATTAGTTCATCACCAGCGGTAATTTTTGGTACAAGTCCTCGTATGTTAGAACCTGAAGGGAATGGAGAGAATAACTATAGTAAAAATAATCTTGGACCTGGTAATTATGATCCACAGGATATTAGAGGAAATATACCTGGGGCTGCATGGGGTACAAGTTTACGTTTTACAGAAGAGAATGGACAGAAGGAGATACCTGGACCTGGAGCCTATGAAATTTTATCACAATCACCAGTTCAAAATATAATTTTTGGAACAGCAGGTGAAAAATCTAATTGGCTCGTTCCAACAGGTGTAGCCGATCAACCTGGACCAGGATCCTATATCCCACAAGATCCAAAAGAGCGAGGAACATCTACAGTAGTTTTTGGTTCTTCACCACAGCATATGCTTTCACCAGAAGAACGAGAAAACCTTATAAAGACAAATCTTGGTCCAGGTACTTATGATGCTAAAATACAGACTCCTCATGCATTTCACGCTACTTTTGGAAATACAAAAGTGGGACGAATTGAAGAAATGCCTATAGACCCAATACCTGGACCTGGTCAATATAGTCCAGAGAATGTTAATAACCCTTCATCACGAACCGTTGTATTTGGCACAGCTTCTCGAAATCAGCTACAAACTGAAGGTAATGATATTCCAGGACCAGGCGCATATGAACCAATGGATACATCTAATACTGGTGTACAATCAGGGCCTGTAACATTTTCTACTGCTGTACGGTTTGATAGTCCAGAGTTAGTAAAAGGTAATAATGGTAATAAAGGTGATACTCCAGGACCTGGAGCCTATTCTTTAGAGCGATATATGGAAAGTACAACAAGTGGTGGTGCTGTTATCATTGGGACAGGACCTCGCATTCTTGATCATGAACAGCGGGAACGTGCACAATTACCTGGTCCAGGCCAGTATACACCACTTGATACTGTAACGATGGCGAAAACATCTGTTTACACGTTTTCTACAGAACCTCGTATGGCAGTAAATGGAGGAAATGGATATAATAGCAATACTAATGCACCAGGTCCAGGAGCATATGATGTTGCTGTTCCAACTTTTACGGCACCAACTACACGTTTCGGAACAGAAGAACGTAAATTGGAACCATCCACTTTAGAAGAAATTCCAGGACCTGGAACATATGATGTAAATACAGCTGTAAGAGCCATTTCTTCTACTGGGCCTTCTTATCTCTTTCCTACTGCACCTCGGGAATTACCTGCTAATTCAAGTGATACACCAGGACCAGGACAATATGAGGGTAACCTAGTAGAAACTTTTTTGGGAGGTGATACCAAAGCACCATCCTTTCCTACAGGACCCCGTTTCTCTGAAGTAAAGAATAATAATCTTCTTCCTGGACCAGGACAATATACACCTAGTCATCCTCAGTGGGAAGCGTCTAAAGTGTATTCTTTTTCAACTGGAGGTAAACAACCTTTAAATGGTGATGAGGTTGATTTTCCTGGTCCAGGTACATACAGTCCGAATCAAATATTACCTTCTTCTGGTGCCCCTATCTTTGGTACTGAACCACGACGTATAGGATTATCAGCAGATGATCTTGGTAATGTCGATAATGGTACTAGTAATAAAAATAATAATAATAATAATAATCCAGGTCCTGGATATTATAATGTAACGTTACCACCTAGTGGACCTGCTGTTAGTTTTGGTGTTGCTACAAGAGAGATAATGCAGAATAAGAATGATGAAGGTGCCCCTGGTCCAGGAACATATGATGTGGTTTCTAGAGTACCGGAAGGACCAGTATTTTCAATGCATCGTACAGCCCCACGAGGAACAAGTTTAGCAGAGATGGAAAATTCTCAGATACCAGGCCCTGGCGCTTACTCTGTACCTCCTGTATTTCCTGCAACAGAAGGTGTAGGAGCAGCTATTTCATTTGTGAAAGCAGAACGCTTTCAAGTACCTGATAGTGCGCAAGAGGGAACACCTGGACCAGGTTTCTATAGTCCTCAGTATTTTGATCAAGCTACAGGATGTTTTATTGCTCGTGCACCTCGTTTAGCAGAAGTAAATGATGGAAGTGGTAAAATAGATATACCAGGACCTGGACACTATGAAGTTAACCGGCATGATAATATTTTTGATACCACAGTGAATGGGGGAGTAGCGATGCGATTTACGGCTTCTCGTTTTTCAGGAAATGGAGAAGGAAATACATCTGATATACCAGGTCCAGCATCCTATAATATATCAGAAACTACAAATGCAGGTACCACTATATCGTTTCCACAGGCTCCACGTTTTGTAGTTTCTGAATTAAAAAATGCAGCGATGCAACCAGGTCCTGGTGAATACAGTATTCCATCTTCTTTACATCCATCCATGGGGGCAGTAGCGCATTCCTTTGGTACCAGTACGAGAATGGAATCTCCTACAGACGCTGTAAATACTCCAGGTCCTGGTAGCTATGATGCGAGTCGATATGCAGCGAGATTTATGTCAGGTCCTGCTTTTACATTACAGGGGAAACCAACATACATAGATGAAAAAGAGACAGTAGATTATCCTGGACCAGGTGCCTATTGTCCTCGTCCTGTAGAAACAGTTCGTACAACTAGTTTTGGTGTACCGACGACTGTAGATCCTGACGCGGTATTTGCAGCACATGTAAACTCTACTCCTGGACCAGGAACGTATGTAATTCCTCCAACGTTAAGTCAGCAAACGGTTACCTTTGGTACAGCAGGACGAATGACAGAAGTAAAAGAAGATCTCCCAGGTCCTGGTGCATATCTTACAAGTGGTCCAGTTATTATACCAAGTCAACCTGCATTTAGTTTTGGTAATGCACCTCGTCCAGATATTGTTCCATCTACTCAATATGACCTTCCAGGTCCTGGTGAATATCATCATCCGATTGATCCAAAACCTTCTGTACCAGTATTTACCTTTACTGGTGCTGAACGTTTTAATGACATGGAAACATTAGGAGGTATTGGTCCAGGACAATATTACAACCTTGGATCTGCAGGATCTCAGGATGGACGAGTTTACACTTTTCCAACAGCACTCCGTACAGTAACAGGAACAACACCAACATCCACAGGTAACATTGGTCCAGGGGAATATTTTCACCCACATCGTTGGGAATTAGCGGAACGTGGACCTACTTTTCCCCCTCAAAATATCTCACCATCTACCAATAAGAAGCGCTGATAAATTTTGTAATAAAAGAGAGAAAGAGAGAGAGAAATATGCATACTACTTGATACCACACATTGTATGTACATCCAGTATGACCTTTTAACGTCAACAGCATTTGACTTGAAAGGGAAAGTGGCACTCGTTGAAACACATTCAAATGGAAATCATTACAAAATCAATGCGCATTTATATAGATTAACTCATAGATTTTTTTGGGTTTAATGGGGAAAGAAGAAAAAAAAAAACTGTATGAGGGAGAAGGTATTCGAGTGAAACATCATTTTTTTTTTTTTCTCTTTTGCTTTAATTCCCTTTTTTTTCCCCCTCCTTACGTTATCAGTTTTAGTTCCTTTCATCAAAAAAAGAAAAAAATGCTTTCTTGCACTGTTAGGAATACATCTAACAAGTATAACTAAAAGTAAATAAAATCTATTACAATTATTGTTTTCTTTTTTTTTTCTGTGTGTATGTAGCATTTATTTTTCTATTGAAATCTCTGAACTTTTTTTTCCTTTTTTTTTTTCTTTTAAAAAGGTTCAGTAAAACGTCACATTCTTCTCTTTTTACTACAAGGCGGAGGGTGGTGGTGAAGAAGGTGGGGAGAGTCACTTAAGTTTCTCCTTTTTCAAACCAATGCAACAACAACAGCAACAACAACAACAGTTTCAACAACTACAACAACAATGGTTAGGTACAACGGCACAACCTCCACATCATAATAATATGCAGGGAAAGACTTCTACAATGCCACCATCTCCTCGTGTACAACAATTACAACAACAACAACAACAACAATCTAATCTACCACGACATCTCCAGGGTTTGCCTAGAGCTGGAGCTAATGTTACGCCAATGCAGCCTATGAACCTTAGTACTCCAGCAGATCCTAGAAGAATGAGTGTGGGTAGTGCAGCCACCATGTCATCATTGCGTTCACCAGGAAAATCACCTATGCCATTTCCTCCAAAGATGATAATGAAGGCACCAATAACAAATCCAGCCATGAAGGTGGGACCCACAGTGTCTCCAACAGGAAATCAAGGTAAGAGTCCATCTAATACCTCATCAATGGAGAATGCAGGGCGAGGTAGAAATTCTATCATATCTCCAACAGCAATGCGAGCTGCAGTGGCGACTCCTTCTGCTGCTGGGACTACTTCCTCCAGACGAAACTCTGATGTGGATCCACGTATTCCCCTTCAACAAGGCCCAAAATCCACTGTTTCTCCTAGGAGTGTCTCGGATGATGCTGGTGGTCGATATCGTCCAACTAGAGGAGGTATGGTGGGTACTATGAGTATTGATAGCGGGGTTTCTTCCTCTCACCGTAATGCCCAACAACCACAGCGGCCGTCTATTTTAGTACAGCCGCAGCATCAACAGTATCATAATCATCATCATCATCAACAACAACAACAACAACAACAACATCTGCATCATTTACAGCATCAGCAACATCATCAGCAGCAACTGTATTATCAACAACTTCAACAGCATCAGCAGTATCATCAACAGCATCAACAACACCAACAACATCTACAGAGTACTATGGCTCACCCTACACCGTCACTCAGTCACTCAGGGGCTGAAGGGTCCCCATCTATTGCTAAAAAAGAAACTTTCTGGCAGAACGTAAAAACTGGTGCGTTAAATATGTTAGGCGCCAAAAGTGAGACCAAAAAGAGTGAAGTCATGGCAAATATTTCCCCAACCCGCTATGCAAGAGGAGGTGTCAATAATAATAATAATAATAATAGTAGTAGGAGAACTAGTGGGTCACATACGATAAGCCCTAGGACACCACAGGTTTCACATACAGGAAATAATAATACAGCAGATGATTCAAACTTAGAAATACCCATGCAAAACACGTATACGTATGAGTCTGAAAGACCACGGCAACAACAACAACAACAACTTCCATCTCCCAGCAATCGTACTAATCAGCAGTCTATGCAGCAATCACAACAGATGCAACATCAATCTCAACCGATGCAACATCGAACCTCAGCAATGCATTCACTAGAAGCTAACCAAAATCGTGGAAAAGCTGGAACTACATTGCAAGGATCAGCGGCTGCAATTGCACAGAATAATAATAATAATAGTGTTAGTAATAATAATAATACTAGTGTTAGTAATAATACTAGCCTAGGACCTGCCCCATTAGCGCCGAGGCCATCACAAACAACAAAAACAATAGTTATACCAACGGCATCACCTTCTTCAGTTGCTGCCAGCTCTGATGTACTTTTAGTATCTCCCAGTGTACAGCTACGAGATGAAGTAAGAGAAGCTGGAATCGCCCCGTCCTCGGTAGTACAAACCTCTAAAGAAGGTGGTGATCAAAAAAGTCTACAATCCTTACACACACGTCGTGTCTTGATGTTTCCCTCTATGACTGTTGTTGACAGTGATGAAGATTCAAGTGAAGTGTCTGCAGATAATAAACCGCAACTACAAGAAGGGAATCAAATGGAGAAACGTGAAGTAGATCTAGAGCAAAAACAGGATATGCCTCCTAGGCAGATGGAGAATACCATGTCACCTGCTGAGACACCAGAGCGACAGAAATTAGAAAGTTCCAATTCTTCATTAGTTGCCCCATCCGCTCTCACTCTGGGAAATACAACTCATGAAGAAAGAGGAGAAAAAGATAAAGATATTCATGCTGAAGGTGGAACTGCCAGTACACAGTTGCATTCTCCATCTGAGGGTCATCCCTTTTCTTCAAGCGGGGTATCACCACAGCAATCTATTTTAGATAAGCCTATTGGTGCTCCAATAATATCAGACCCAAAAGCGGTCGATAATGTGAATGATGAGGTATCGGAAAAGAAAAAGAAGAAGAAAATTAAAAAAGTGATACCAAAGGGAGAGAAATCATCTCCGAAACCGACTACAAAAAAAGTATCGTCTAAGGAAATGTCGAATAAGGAACCCTTAGATGAAAAGAAAACTGAAAGAAGATTGTTATTGTCTCCAGAAGTGAGAAAGAGGAATAGTACTCCTGTAAATCATAAGAAGGATTATGCAGCAGGAAAAGGACATCTTCAACAAAAAGAGGAACATCATCAAAGTCAACGTCAACACTCATTAGATTCATTAGTTTCATCAGAAGCTTCTCTTGACTCATTGGAGACACAAGAGAAGAAGAAGAAAAAGCGAATTCACCGAGACAAGAGTCAGGATAGTAGAAGGAACAGCTCAGTATCTCCACCACGTCGCAACTCCACATTTCGAGTATCTCCACTAAAAGATGAGAAAAAAACGAGAAGGAGATCACTCTCTGAGGATGATAAGAAGAAACACAGAAGAAGAAGTAGAAGTGGTAGCAGCAACAGTAGTAAGGAAGAGGATTATGCAGAAAGCAGAGGCAGATCACCACGTCGTCACTCAACTTCACCCACTCATCATTCCCATACGGCTGATAAGAAGAAAAACAAAAGTAGAGGTAGAAGTAGTGATGATGATAGTGATAGTGATAATGATAGAGGCAGACGACGCTCATCTCTTCACTCACTCACTCAGTCACTTTTTCGCACAAGAGATGTGTATAAGTTGTATCGAGAACTTAAACGACAACAACATCAAATACAACGAGAAAGATTATCACGATGGCGTAAATATGGCACAACATCACTCCTTGATTCTCATATTTCTCCTAATAAAAGTGGTGAAAAATCACCTTCTGGACATAATCAATCCCCAAAGCCATGGCGACATACTTCACTTCATACTCCACCTGTACCACCAGTAACACCACTTCGTCGACCACTTGGATATATAAGTTTGGGAAATGGTTCATATCGTCCTCCTTCTTCTTCTGTTTCTGCTTCTCGTAGACGAAAAGGAAGTGAGAGTGGTAGACCGAGTAAATCTCCTTTAAGAGGAGGTGAGAGTCCAATCTCCTTTCGTTCCTCACCTATTTCAGCAAGATATACTCCGCATACTATAAATAATAATAATCATAATAATGGTGTTCGTAATAGTCCTTTGCATTCGTATCGGCATATGCCTATCCCATTACCAGAAGAAGAAAATCAACGTGGTGATTCCACTATTCATCCATATGAGTTAGTTACTTTTGTACCACAACGTCATCCTATTGATCCTCATGGATTGCATAAATCACCTAATGGTAATAACTATTACAGAGATGGTGTTGGTAGTCAAACGTGGATGCGATGTGAAAGAACTCCTGAAAGAAGAGGGTTATCACCTATTCGAAGATTTAATGATGTTAAGAATCTTCAGAATTCACAACGTACAAGCCATCATTATAGGCGTTCTTCTTCATTACCAGAACGAAGATATTCAACAGGGGAGTCACAACATCAACAACAACATCATCATCATCATCAAGTAGATCTAGAGATGTCATTGCCAGTTTTTACTCCTCCAGTAAGTCATACTTCACAAAGATCATCATCTCATCAGATCTATGATAAGCATGAAAAAGATCAACCTCTTCATAGACGTTGTAGTGGAGAAACGGCACTCACTGGATATACACATACTTCTTCACATTCTATTCAACATCATCCTTCTTCTTCTCCTCCTATTATTACTAATACTACTACTAATACTAATACTCCTGATCATCATCATCATCATGTCGCCGTAGAAGCATCCGTCTCCCTCTCATCATCAACATTAGGTGAAGATGTATTCCCAACATCATTCAATAGAGGGAATATAAACAGTAATGGGGTATCTGGAGAGGATGAGCCTATTCCTATTCCAGTGGTGGATCTTCGCAAAGAGTTCAAGCCTCATTTAGAAACCTCAGCGAGATCTAGAGAGCCTATTACTACTACTATTACTACTACTACTACTACTACGCCTTCCAAGATCCGGCCTGGATACGGTGTGAAAAATATTTCCCCATCACGATGTAGATCTAATCATCATACACAATCAACATCAACGAGGGGTGTGTTGAGTTCTCGTCACTATTCACAGCAGCGAAGTGCTCGAGGAGCGAGTCGTTCTCCTACACGATATGTGGATATTCCAGAGGAGAAAATGTTTTCATCTTTTGATATAAAAGAACCAGAACGGCCTTCTGCGTGGGCAATGGGACCAGAGCGAAGTAATTTACCTCTCAATTCTCCACGAACTCGTCGTCGTGTTGTGAAAAAGATGACTTCTTCTCATGTTATCCATTCCGGTGATGATATGGAGATGGATAAGAGTAGTGGTGGGAGTGGGAGTGACGGTGTGAAACCGGTTCTTATTGTAGAGGAATTACGATTAGATGAGCAGCGGCGTCCGTATATGTTAATACGTGAAGTACCGTATGGACCTGCAGCCGTGGCAGCGCAGCGGGATTCTGTGGAGCGATTGTCAAGACCGAGACCCGTTTATGTTCGCCGCGAGGATGGGACTTATGAAGAGAATAATAATGATAATCATAATCATAATAAGAAGAAGGTGTCTGAAAGGAAGTAGAGAAAATAAATAGAATGAGTGGAAGAAGAAGAATATAAAGAAGAATATAGTAGTAGTAGTAGTAGTAGTAATGGTAGTATTATTAGTAATAATAATAATAATAGTAGTACTACCAATCGCAACTGTATATGTATATTTTCTTTTTCTTTTCTTTTTTGACATTCATGTGTACTAAATAATAGCGTTGTGCTATGTTCTTTCTTTTCTTTCTTCTCCTTTCTTGTGCTTCTTTTTTGTACCCTTTTCTTTATTATTTTTTATTGTTTTTTTTTTTTTTCTTTTTTCTTCTTACCCCCTGTTGATTCATTCTTGCAATCTTCTCTTTTCTCGTTTTGTATATACTCCCACACACTATCTATCTATTTATATATCTATCCCTTTACTTGTTACTGTGCATATATATTTCTGTATTGACAAAATATCATGTGTGGATTTATATTGTATTATTATTATTATTATTATTATTATTATTATTATTATTATTATTATTATTATTTGCTTTCCAATGAATAGTGTAATTCGTTGCTCATTCATTTCCTTCTCTTTGTGAATAATATATATATATATATATATATATA